ATGAGTACCAACATAACACCACAAAAAATCGAAAATCGAATATACGTAACCCGCGGAAATTCAAAATTCGCGATACTTTTTGAACAGACCTCGTATGTATATGCATATATATATATATATATATACTTTAATTAATGATTATATATGTTTGCGCAATATATGCTCATGATGCTAAGAATTTTATTTGGTAGTAAGATAAATTTGATATAGTTAAAATTTTGCCTTGAATACTGTACTTTGAGCTATCGATAAGAGCGCCATTAGGCGTGCATGTAAGAAAATAAAAAATAAGCAAGATAGCAAAAAGTTAACAACCATAAGAATGTAGAGATAAAATAAAACACTTTCATAATATATCCTGAGCGGTTGCAATCGATTGAGCACACTTAGAACTTGATCGGTTCAGCCCGTATTGAGATCCGATAATCTCGATCTGGCGAGACTCGCCGGCTCGCGTAAAGCGAGTCACGGCAGTGACATTGCGGGTATCTTACTACCAGTGTCTCCAGATACATTGCAACGTTGCCAAATAGTATGTATAATTGTTAGGTTGAAGGATTGATATAAACGATGAGACACAGAGATGTGAATTATGAAAGTATTTTAATATGCACTGAGTCTTACAAAGAAAAGGAAAAGATACGTTGGTTATAAAAAAAAATAGTGCGTGAAGCGCCAAGGTAAGCGTGCGTCTGTTAAGTTTAAAAAGTGTAGATAGCGCTCAGCGTCAGCGCCATCCACCCAGTGACAAGACCAATGAGGTTAATGACGGGAACACATGTTTTCAATACCTCTTGTTCTTGACATCATCCCCATCTATATAAGGCATCGAGATATTATAGACTAAGGTAGAGACTTTGTTAACAGGTCAGCTGCTTGCTTGTCTGAAGACACATATGTAACATTAACTTTTCCAACTTCCTGTTCCTGTCTAATACGATGAAATCGAATTCCAATATATTTGGTCCTTTTATGAAACTCTGGATTCTTGGACATCGCTATAGCTGCCTGATTATCTACCTTCAATTCTGTTGGCTTTATCTGTTTTAATCCAATAGACTGCATAAGTAACCTCAGCCACAGAAGTTCCTTTAACGCTTCCAAGATTGACATATACTCTGCCTCTGACAACGAAAGAGCAATAATCTGTTGCAACCTTAATGCCCACGCAATTAATCCGCCATGGATAAGAAAAATATATCCAGATGTTGATCTTCTTTCTTTTAATTCACCAACATAATCGGAATCACAATATCCAATTAATTCATCTGATGATTCTCCACAGAAGTATAATGAAACATCAATTGTGCCTTTGAGATATTTCATAACACGCTTTACTGCCTTCCGCTCTTGATATTATAGCTATATAATTTAAACAGCCAATTGCTTCTCGATAAGGAAAGCGTTTTTCTTCACCTTCGGCTTCATTGGATTCATCAGTCAACTCAGTAGATGAATCCATTGGAGATTTTACAGATTTACAATCTTCCATTCTAAAACGACACTTGTGAAATATATCCCTGTTGATTAATACAAAGCGTTCCTCTCGTTCGATCTCGAGTTATTTCCATTCCAACATAGCACGTTGGTTCATGACATGTAATCTCAAACTCTGAGACCAAGCTATCATCTACATACAAAGATAGCAACATCCAATCATCCGTATAAGCATCCCTTACAAAAATGCATGGATCCGCTTCTGATTGTTTAAAACCATACGACAAAGTTACAGAATTTATCATTCCAGTTTCTGGTCGCTTGTTTGAGTCCATAAAGTCCTTTCTTTAAGTGACACACACGCCTTATTCCATCTTCATATCCTTTGGGTTGTTCCATGTATATGTCTTCCTCCAGTAAACTATTCAGAAAGGCCATCTTCACATCAAACTGTACCAGTTCCATGTATTTAGCTGCTATAGCTAAAATTGCTCTTACCGACTCATACTCAACGTACAACAGGTGAAAAAAGTCTCAAAATAGTTTATATCTTGTATTTGACTAAATCCCCGAGCAACCAGCCTTGTAATGTTTGATTATACCGTTAGACTATAATTTTGATTTAAAAATCCATTGACATGAAACTACAGATTGTCCACCTGGAAGAGATTTCAGTTCCCACGTTTTATTCTTGAGTAGACATGACATTTCACTATCCATTGCTTGCTTCCAGGACTTAGAGTCCTCTCTTGAAATCGCATCTTCATATTGGATCCAAGGATACTTTCATTGCAGCAATACGAGTTGGCTTGTCCATCCTATCCCGCAGCACTCGGTCTGACGGATGTACTGATTTCTGATAAGATCGTGATCCTGGTGGCCGTCTTTTCTTTTTCTGAGACTCCGGTGAAGATTTCAATTATCTCTCCTTTGTCTGAGTAAAATTCATCATTAGAATTATCAGACTCTGTACTATCCTTGACTTGAGACTTATCATTAAGCAATTCTTCAGAATCCTCCTCTTGCTCTTCAGATAACAATGGAAAAATAACTTGTTCAGTTGTATTCGTTATATCCTCTATTGTAACATCTGCGACTCATTCCACAATCTTCTCAGAATCGAAAACCCGATACACCTTGTCGGTGAAACGATCGTATCCAACAAATATCATCTTTTTCGCCTTGAGATCCATTTTATGTCTCATTGAGTTAGGAATGCGAACAAAAGCTTTTGCTCCAAAGGTCCTTAGATGAGTTACACTGGGCTTCCTTCCATACCATTCAAAATATGGAGTCGTAACTCCTCTATTTGGTACTCGATTACGAAGATATGCCGCTGTTCCAACAGCTTCGGTCCACAACAGATGACGTTTTTGAAAAGTTAGTATTTAATAGTAATGATCGAGCAGTATCACATAGTGTACGGTTCTCTCGTTCAGCCATACCATTACACTGCTTCACATTAGGCGGCGATAGCTCATGTGTAATATTTATTTCTCGGAGAACTTCCTTCACCTTATCATTTACGTATGATGTAAATGATGTTCCGTTGTCCATCCTCAACGAAATTGCTTTTCTATCTAGTTCCTTTTCTGCATCTTGAAAAAATATCTTCAGAATACTTGATACATCTTCTTTTGATTTCATGAAGAAGACTCTGCGATAACCAGATGCTTTATCCTTTAGAGTCAAAAAGTACTTGCATTTATTCCATGACGTAATTCCAACATGACAAATGTCAGAATGAAAACGGTGATCTGAAAGACATTCATGACTTCCTCGAATGGAATGTGAACTAATTGTCTGTTTTCAAAAATGACAAGAATTACAATCGTTTCTTTTCTTTAGAATTACTTCAAGACCATCAACAAGATTATTTTTCGCCATTGCTCGAATCACATTGTCACTAACATGACCAAGACGCTGATGCCACAATTCAATTGATCGAGCAATCTTTGCAAAAACTGGTAATGGCACGACACGAATGAAAAGTTTATACTGATTACTAATCCTCTTTCCAAAAATTTTCTTCCGTCTATCCATCATTCGCATGATTCCATTTCTATGATAGAATCCATAGCCTCTGGTTCTCTCCATAAATGCCATTGAAAATAGTGATTCACTACCTATATCATCGCAGTAGTATACTGATTTCCACATTCGTTTTTCCCATTTAATGCCATTAATTGACTTCTCAATTTGTATATCACCGACGTGAGTAGCTTCTAACGTTTTACCATCGGCAATGTTTAATAAATAGAAGTGGCACATCCAATTTCTTAAGTGAGGAAAACTATTCAATATTATCTGTGAGATAAACACTGGCACCGGAATCTGCAATAATATAGCCTTCGTACCTTAATTTATAAACAGTGAATGCAGACATTTCTTTTACAGCTTCTACATCCTTTGGCTTTTTCTTTCCTTTTCGCGAACTGGATGCTTCATTTTTCTCAATTTTCTCTGACTTCTCTGATTTTAACCTACAATCGCTTCAGATGTCCTGTTTTACCACAATTATGACATTTGCCTCTAAATTTCTTTCCAAAGGATTTCATTGCCTGATCGCTCATTGACTAAGATTGCGACTTGAACGCTTCATCTTGTACATCATCTGAATGTCCTTCAATATTCCTTTCAACATTGGTAAGTTTCTCTAAAAAGAGTTCCAAAGAAATCTCATCTGATAAAATAGACCAGCTTGTAACAAAACTGTCGAAGCTCTTCGGTAGGCATCCTAAAATCTGTGACATTATAAGCTTTTCATTAAACTTATTTCCAAAATCTTCTGAATCTAGGACTTCAATTTTACGTACAATAACTTTCAGCCCTGCTACGAATGTACTAACCGTATCATTTGACTTCCACGAATAACTAAAGAACTCACGTAATAGTTCTAATAAAGCATTTAACGTCTTCGGTACGTAAAAAGCTTTGATCCTTTTCGTAATGTCTGCTGACCTTTCACAGTTACATACCTGATCAAACGTTGTGTCGTCTAGAGTTGATCGTATAACAGGCCTTACTGTCTTTTACTTTCCAATCATCAATTTCTCTTATATTGGTAACCACGCCAGCTTCGTTCTTCACCTCACTCGGCTTTGCCGCTTTGCCGCTTTCCCGGTAGTGATTTCCCAAATTTGATAACTCTCAAGAATATTACGGACTTCAATCTTCCAACGACCATACGTTGCTTTCGTGAGCTTAGTAATTCGAATATCTCTCAGCGAGCTTTCAGTGGTCATTCTTATTTCTTGTTAGACTGCCGTCTTTCGATCACATTAACCTCACAATCTCAGTAACAATAACACATGTCTGACCGTTTATTAGTAGCTCCTAAGTCTTATAATCTGTTAGGTTGAAGGATTAATAGAAACGATGAGACATAGATATGAATTATGAAAATATTTAATATGCACTGAATCTTACAAAGAAAAAGAAAAGATACGTTGATTATAAAAAAAAACAGTGCGTGGAGCGCCAAGGTAAGCGAGCGTCTGTTAGTTCAACAAGTGTAGATAGCGCCCAGCGTCAGCGCCATCCACCCAGTGACGACACGATCAATGAGGTTAATGGCGAGAACACATGTTTTCAACAATAATAATATAAAATTTAAAGATAGAGATGCATTGCGACGTTACCAATAGTGCTCATAATGATATATGTCCCACCCATTGTAGTCCTATACTCGCCATAGCATTCATGTTCTCTCTCCTACCCACAGTGATCCTATATTTATCATAGTATTCGCGCTCTCTCTTCTTCCCATTATATTCTCTCTCACGTTCTCTTTTCTCCTTGCTCACAATTTTTATTAAATAAATAAGGTATTTGTTTTACAATTTTTTAATGGTATGATTTAGCAATGATTTTAATTTAGCAACTAATTTTAATAATATTTTTAATAATGTAATGTAATATAATACAAATAGCTGAGCGTTCCTAATTATCAAACTATTATAAACTATTATTGAATAGCTATTGAACACTTATTGTACTATGTCGTACTATTGAGCAGTTATCATATTATTAATTAATTCTAAATAACTATAGAGAAAG